GTCGCCAGTCAATTTCTGGGCACATGTGGACCGCAAAGCAGACTCAACAAAAATTAAACAGAATAGATTAAACCAAGGGTACATATTTAACATGGGGAAACAAGTACTAAATACTAGAAGCAACATAACAATGACAAAAGGTCACGCTAATAAATGAGACACTGCATCCATACAGCCAAATGCGAACATACAAGAATGCAAGAAAAGGTGACTCTCGTACCTGTTGTGTGAAACCCTGTGAGCCTTTTTCACACAACACGAATGAGCAACTCTGCGAGAACATTATTGCCTTCACATTCTTTGAGACTTGCATGGTGGAAAAAGCCAGTACCTCTTCCAAGAGCTACCTATCTATTCATTCCAGCGTGCGTTCCCGCTGATTGAACTTTTGGTAGAGCTGCTGATGTCGTTAAAGCGCAGTGCTGTTTGCTTCTTGCTGATCATCTGGATCAGGTCATATTCTTGAAGAAAAACCTTGAAATAGAATATGTATATGGAAAGCTGCTCAGATGTTGAGAGTCGTGATTACAGCAGCCTAAGAGTGTCATTAATATACTTTATATACACACAGACACATACCCACACACACTACTTAATACCTTCACGTTCATACCATATCTTTTCATCAGAAAGTGCACTTTTTTGTTCCTCACTATTAGATGGGTAATATCACAAAATACCCCCCACCCCCCCAAAAACTCAATGCTGCTGTTTTTGCTGTCTGAGATGCATCTGCATATGTTAAAGGTTTTGGGTCGATATACAGGTTGTATGTAGGAATTGTCATGGGCCAGTCTAAAGGCAGTCTCTCACATCCATTCTCAACTCCATCTGTGCTATCATCATCAATCTCGGATGTTTTGCAGCACTTGAACTAAAGGGGGCAAGATGACCGAAACTAAAAAGCTTCAATCCAAGCTCTAAACACAACCAGGAGCTGGGAGGTTTTTATTTTTTGGTTATGATGATGTAGAGAAGAAATCAGTAAGACAGCAGAACGCATCACATCGCCGCAACTTGAAATGTCCAAAATTATAGAGTACTAATGAATGGCCGGGTTTGCTTTGTTCCTGATGACATTGTCAGCACACCACTAAGCACAAGACCAAGGTGACCTAAGAATAGGATTGCCTTTCTCATGTCCATGGCTTACACTAGTTGGACAGCAAACAAGTGAAGACGAATGAGAGAATGCTGCTTTTATTTTGCCCAAACCTGCAAGCTATCTTCATCGAGGAGATGCTACAGATACATTAATTTTGATTATTAGATCATAATAAACCCAACAGCCCATTTCTAATGGGCTAATAGCTAGCTAGCTTTAGCTAATGTTTTAGCTAAATATTCAGGTGACAACTGTAACTCTAAATCCAAAAATGACCAAAAAAAAAAAAAAAAAAAACTGTCTGACTCCCACTTGGTCCCTCCTCACTACTGCAGCATACTCGTAAGGCTCTCATTAATGGCATTTTCAAGTGCATCATTTACATTGCCACCACACCAGCCATGCCACCTAATGCAAGCGCACATTTTCTACATGCTACCACTAACTGGAAGGGCTCTACTTTCATGCCCAGTAAAAATCTGGCATGAGGCATGGTCTAAATTTGCACAGGGGGCAAAGGGGGCTAGAATAAGCAGCTTGGCGCGTTAGGCTTTTTACACTGTTGTTAGTGTAAACTTGAGTCTCAGCCAACCCAAGTGGCTCCTGCCATTCTCTCTAAGTGCTGTGTGCAAGAGGTGCGCTGATAGTCCTTAAGATGGAGGAATAAGAAACTGATTTGTTAGAATCCATGTAGGAGGTCAAAGGGTGCAAAGTATGTTTACGAGGAACTGCAAGCAGACCTCCATGAGTGGATTGATGCCCGTAGATGTGTGAAGTGGGCACTTGGAGCGGTCTCCGAGGCTTTCACCCGGATTGTGAGTGTCTGCAATGATTCGGAGGGTACGATGCATGCGGTTGCCATCTTCATGAATGAAAAGCGCCGACATCCACCACCACATGTCCGCAGAGCTCAGAATCACCACAATCAAATTCACCCAAATCTCGTTCCCTGCGCCAGTGGTTAGATGAGGCTCCATCCTGAGAAGTGTTGCCAGTCGCCAGTGATATGTACTTTGTCATGCATTCTTCTGCAAAATTCTGCCCCCCGGTTACTGATTCTGCCTAACCCTGTTAATAAACTAACAAGAATGAAAACATATTTTCTTTGAAGTTAACCGAATATCGCATGGTTTATTCCTGATGACCTGATCCAGTAGAAGTGCGGCACGCAGGCCTCTTTTCTCGCATGCCCACATGGCCGTGCTTGAGGCACGTTCCAAGATGTGTGCGGTTTTCGAATCATTGATGGTTTCAGATAAAAATCTTTACTCTCCTCACTTTGCTTCATTACAGCCCTTCAAAGAATGTTCGCTTAAAAAAAAAGAACATTGTACAGAAGTTCTTTATACTTTTTAACGACTGTTGGTTTGCCAAAAATGTAATGAGACTTTAGAACATAAAGTGCTGGTGTTTGTTCATTTGTCTTAAGGCGGTCTGGGGTTGTGCGACTCTTGTTTTTGACTAAAAAACATGGACAATCTGTGTAATGTTGGTAGGTCTGGAATAACCCTCGTTACATCTTTAGTATTGTATGTTCTTTTGACACAGTTTAAAAAAAAAATTGAGAGGAACCAACATTTTTCTCTTATACCACAGAAAAACATGCACATCCCTTTCCAGTGGCATTTACTTGATCACGTAACGTTTTTCTCTGATTTCCTCGGTCCTCTTAGCTGCGCCATTGATTCATCAGTCAATTAACGAATCAATCCTTGATTTGGGTGGCAACTTTCAGACTTCAAAAGCAACACAAAGCACTTCACAAAGCGACAAAAACGAATGTGTCCCACCTGACCGAAGACTCTGACGACCATTCTCTGACCCCCCCCTGCCCCCAACCCCATCCCATTTGTGAAAGTACTTCAAGTTTCAGTAGATGATTAAAATTGATGAAAACGATTTCATCATCCGAGCAGAATTGCTTTAACAACATAACAACAGGGTCTTGTGCTCAAAGAATTGGTTAGGGGGGAGGAGTGGTCGGGGGGTGGCGATGAATCTTATGGAACCCCACCACCGGATGGGGTACAATAACGCCTTTTAAAAATTCACTGACAAGAGACTCATGCCATCATTTGGTTTTGCCAAAGGCACACACATGGTTCTTTTTTTGATGTATTTGCTTGGTCAAATGTAAAAATGCCAAGAAAAAAACAAGAACCAAAATGACTTCCATCAATAGCTATGGCACCATACTGCTTTTAGACAATGCATGTTTTCTTTTCTGTTTTTGCTAGCGTGTCTGGGTCCCGTTTAAACCCCGGACACAGATCCTATTTTTCTGTGGGTGTATTTTTGATTACCTGTTGAAAGTTCCTTTGACTTTAAGTGGCTAAGTTTTGCAGGTCAAACATGTAAGGAGGCGAAAGACACCTGCTAGATATTTGAGTGACAGGGGAAAGCCAATTGAGCCGTGTTTTCTGCCCATTGAGCAGCCACATAGATGCTGTGTTTGAGGGCAGGAAAAAAGGCCCGAATGATCATAACTTTGAAGCCTCATTTATCTACTTGTTTTTTCTTTTTTAATCATTCAAATTTGGCAGGATAGATTAGAACATTCTTTTCTGTGGTGTGTCACATTTACAAGACATGTTTGTTTTCACTTGACAAAGAATTAAAATCAAATGTTACAAACATTTTGGATGGATGAAACTTACTTGATGGACACATCAAGCATACTATCAGTACACAAGACTTCACATGCACTGTTACATTGACATCTTGGAAGGGCTAATATTTAGTCGGATAGCACACAAAAAGTGCACTGTCAAGAGAAGACAGACATCTTTCTTTCCTTCTTTTGTTAATAAATATTTGAGGCAGCATATTTCGGGAACGTTTAAGCTCCGATGGACCCAAAATGGTCTGTCGTTAAAGTGTTAAAAAAAAACAAACAAAAAAAAAAAACTTTTTTTAAAAAAATTTCAACACTTCAGCTCTTTCAAGCCCAACAGTGTGACCTCAGTAACGTAGGCACACTCATTTGTAAATTTATTTTCATGAAGTTCAAAAACATTGAAAAGCTCTCTACCGAAACAGAAAGCATTTTCTGAATAACATACATTTCATATGTTTGATATTATTACTTGGTAAAAATAGAAATAATTACCGGTAAGTTGAATTAAAATTTTTAGACAAGTACACATGAGTTAATTGAAAAATATCTATTTGGCTTCTTCATTTAAATCAGAGGTGTCCAATCTTTTTTTTTTAAGGTCCACATATGGAAAAATCAAAGGAGGCAAGGACCACATCAACATCTTTCTAACATTTGAGTGTCTAGGTAAAGGTTTCTGAAGCTGTATTTATTTTTACTGAATAGTTAAAAAATATTTTTACCATAAATGATTTTTCAGGATTTTGGGATGGCCAGCGACCCTCCCGAGTGATGTCTAATTGGTTAAAAACAGGGAAGTGGGAGATGAAAATAAACATTCTTATGTCTTGCCTTCCAGTGCACATTTTTTTCACCCAAAAAGAATCAGAATTGAGAAATGTTTGGAGCTGAAACCTGTTTACTATGTTGCTGCAGACACTTCACAAATGATGATTTAACTATGAACTATGAATGATTTTACCAAGTGAGAATGCAATCCTTTACAATTCTAAGAAAAAATACTTTTTTTTTTTTTTTTAAACAGTGTGATATCACTACGGTATCGGCATTGGCCGACACTGCCCAACCACGTATCGGAATCGGTACGCAGGGTCCCAAAAATGGTATCAGAACAACAGCATTCACATTTGGTGAGAGCAAAATGAAAAACGGACATCGAGCTGTATCCTTTCATGCACCCTTTCATACACCCTGTAACCTGATAACCCTGTAGTAATCTCTGTCCCTGAAATAGTTAATAGTGACCTGAAAATACCAAGTCAATAAAGCAGAAAAGACCACATACCTGCACACGTTGAGATCCAACACAAGAGCTGTGTATTAAAAATGAATTGAACAATGAGTTCATCATGAAAGTTTTACACTTCTTATTTTCCACTCCCTGGCTAAAAATGGGGGGAAAAGAACATATTTGAAAGCCTTACATTGTAGTTGGACTACCCCCGTTGGTGTCAATCAAACCAGGAATTTTTATCCTTTGAAATGTAGCACAAATTTGATAAATATTTTGTATTGGCTCTTGTTAGATTTTGCAGGTCTATTATGGTGAGTGTACGTTTCCAGTGACTCATGTCATTTTCTCACAGACTAAGTCTCAGATGTAAAATTGAAATCAAGGACATGCAGTCGCAGTATATTATTTGTTGTTTCATGATGTCTATTCATTCGTTCTGAGATGCAATCATGTTATCAGTTCAGTACTACTCTACGTCTCTGTTTCTGTATTTGATCCAATCCAGTCCATCAGTGGACATTTCTCACATGGACTCAAATTCATCAATGCGCTGTTTGGTGTTGCCCTGACGAATCTGACGTAGGGTCTTGTATTTGTCACGGCCGGCCTTTACATTCTCAGCATGGATCAGGTCATTTGCGGTCATTTTGCTCTCGTCTACAGCTCGCGCAAGCTCAGTACTCAGGAACTGAAAGAGAACACAAACACACAGAATGAAATCCTCATCGCTGAGACTATTCAAAAGGCTCCCCCCACCCCACCCCCACTCAATCCCAATCTGACAACATTCTTTTGTCCGTAGTTATTAAGTCCATTTCCGTGTTGGAGATTCTATGCAACATCGTACGGTATCCTGTTTTGCTTGGAGTCCAATTTTATTCCAGGAGTAATAGACTTTGTGGATGACATATCCGGCGTGAATGAAACCACTTGAATGACAAGCTACCTGCAAGACATTTAATTATGTCGAGTGCACTTAGTTCCTCGCAAGAGATGCTTTTTTGGGGGCCAATTAAGATGTCAATTTAACAACACAATCAAAAACATACACAAACATGTATGAACGGAAAACACAACAAATTGAGCAAACATAATGGACACCATGAACTGCAGAAGAGGTGGCATCGGTGCGGCCAAGCTATTTGAACGGACTGCAGCTATTTAGTCATAAACCATAGTCAGTTGCACACATTATCATTTGATTGCAATTGTAGGATTAACCTTTTTTTTAAACAGATCAAAGTCACCGTAGTCTATCGTTTAGTAGTAATGGTGTAAAAAAATAAAATATAATCAGATCATGTCTCAGAAATATATATGTTGTCAAAAAGGTTACCGAGTTTTCTGGGTAAGTGCACAGGTAAGTTGGAAACCATTAAAAAAAAAAAACAAAAAAAAAAACTAATCACCTCCAAGTCAGTCTGGATATCCAACAGTTACTTTGAATGGGGGAAGCTTTTGAGTGGAAAGGATTCATTCTTTGACCAACATCTTTTTGGGACACATTTCAGCGACGGAGAGACATCTAAATCTTAAATCAAAATCTAACTATTAGGAATATGGCGCCAAACTACTGGAGCCAGTTCTATATTCCTTTATCCATACCTTCAAGTTTTTCTGCAGTCTCTGGTTCTTCTGTGCCTCTGTGACTCTTTCCTCCTCGCTACGGTCACGTACGGTGCCAGGAGACATTAACTCAGCGCTCGCCTCCGCGCTGCTCTCATCTGTCTCGTCGTGATCATGCATGTGAGGGTGGGCAGAATCCTGGATTTGGATTCCCATTATTTTAGACTTCAGCTCCTCTTTGGTTTTCTCTAAATCGGCTTCTGCCATCATTGCCTGTCAACATATACATTTACATATTTAAGGAAGTGGAGGTGTTTTACAAATGTTTACATCCTCGCCAGCCATAACATACACAGTAGTTACAGTATGCACGTACACAATGAGACAATGTTGATTTATTTGTGGGCCATGTCCGCCTTTTGTCAGTGTAAGCTCATCCATTCCCTATGCTGAACAGAACATTTCTCCGGACTATTACTCGCTGGAAAAAACATTAGGTACACATTCCCAAAATGAAGAGAGTCAAAAGAAGCTGGAATGGGGACAAATAAAATAAAAGAATTGATTATCCATCCATTTTTTAAAATTTGCACTCTTAAGGGTCACAGACTGAGTGAGCAAGAACTGGAGCTTGTGCCAGCTGACTTGTCGCCGGCCAGTTAAAAAAAAAAAAAAAAAAAAAGTTGACTATTTAAACTCCACTCCTGAATGGGGCAGGTGATTGCCTGCTTTCTCATGGCTTCTTTCTTCGCACAGCTCAGGCAGTTGAGTGGTCGTCCTCGAAGGTTGTGTGTGGGTTTGATCCTCAACACATGAGATCATGTCTAAGTGTCCTTGTTGTGCAAGATACTGAGCCCTATTTGCTCCCAGTGGACTTGGTAGCGTTGTGCATGGCGGCGACCTCCCAATGGTGTATGAATGTGTGTGTGTGTCAATGAGTGAATGCCAAGTTTGGGCAGTAGATAAAGCGCTATATAAGTACACTCCATTTAACATTTTATACATTTAAAGCACGTACATTTATCATTTGAGTTTGCATGGTTTGGGAGTTGATTTAGGTTTTGGAAATTATGATGTCAATTGGATGTGAAAGTATACCTAATGACGAAATACAGCATGCTTTTTTTTTTTTTTTTTTAATTTTGGGGACACTGTTACAGATTGAAGGGGCAGAAAATCAATATGTGGCTACTGTACTTTAACGATGACACATTTCAATGTGAGCATCTAAATCCAGGGTTTCATGTTGGATCCTAAATAGATTTACCAGACTGTGGTTTATAAAAAAAAAAAAAAATGCCAATAACTTCTCAATCTTGTCATATTCTTGCCACTGTTGGAGTCCTTTCTTCTATATATCTTCGCTTATACCCTGTTCACTTAGTAGTGTCTGACATCCCTCTTAGCTCATTTTTGATTCCTCCTTTATCTGGCTCTTTCCTCTTCCGTTAATTCTCACCCTTTTCTGCCATCCCAGTGCTTCCTCGTCCTTTTTCTTCTTGGCATCTTCCAGCAGGGAGATTTTCGAGGTAAGCTCTGCCAGCTCAGTGGCCTATCCACAGGTGCACACAAATGGGGAAAGAGTTAAGAGTGCTCCTAATCTAAGGTCACTGTGCTCTCTCTGTTGTGACAATAGGTTTGAATGTGTGTGTGTGTGTGTGTGTGTGTGTGTGTGTGTGTGTGTGTGTGTGTGTGTGTGCGTGTGTGTGTGTGTGTGTGTGTGTGTGTGTGTGTGTGTGTGTGTGTATATATGCCTGTGTGGACGCAATCTCTTGAGTTCTGTGGGGCACACTTGGATTCATGTTAATAACCAAATCTGCAATACCTACTTCTTGCCATCTCACACAATAGTAGTAGCACGGTAGCTCTATTTTTACTTGAAACTAGTCACAATAGTGAAGCATTGCAAGGTGGAGACTAGTTACACACGTTAAGGTGTTAAGAGAGGCGAGGAGATGCTCTCAAAAGAGATGAGTTTTCAAGAGATTCTTCAAAGTGCAGAGGAGCGCCTTCTCTCTGACAGACAGTCATACTTTTGCCCTCTTCAGGAGCAACCAAATGAGAGCCAGTGGACATGCGCGTGTAGGAATAACATACATGAACTAGCATCAGCACGTTTGTACAGTAATAAAGCAGATGTACTTCAAATCATACGATTCCATAAATGTAGGTTCGTCTAACGGTGAATTGGGGACATGTACCAGCTCTTCCTGACTCTTCATCTCTGACTGGGGAAGTTGTAGCAGGGCTTCTTTAGCTTGCATGGCAGCCCTGTGGTCGTTGTCCAGGCTCTCGGCTTCCTCCTGTGCGAGCGTCCTCTCCTTCTCTAACTCAAGGGCCCTGCGAGTCTGTTCCTCCAACTCTGAAATTCAACATCCAGCACACATAATGCACAACACACCATATACACCACTGTTACTGTCTCTGGGACAAATTTCTCAAATCATAAATATTTCAATATGGCAAGCCACTTTTGTTTTTTAAATGTTTGCAAACAATCAATTGTTATATTCAAAAAGTTGTCAGACCATCTTGAGCTCTCTTTGTCTGCTGCTCAATCTGTCGCAATCTCTCCATGAGCTCCATGGTCTCACGAGCAATCTTCTCGGTTTCTTTCTCAGCATTTTCACGCTTTTTTTTCTCGCTCTCAAGCAGAGCCCTGACAGGAGAATTGTGCATAAATACACATCTGAAACAACTCCATCCCTTGACAGTTCTTCCTTAAGTACAGAGAACACACTGTAAACTGTAAAAAAAAAAAAAAAAGAGAGAAGTACTAATCATTGCCTTTTACTTTGTACCTCTCCATCTGCCTCTTGTTCTTCTCTTGTCTCGCCTGGGCCTTCATTTGCTGCACCTCAATGGTGTCGGGTTTGCGTCTGCGCATGTACAAGTCGTGGTTTCCCATACACAGTGCCAGTATGCGTTTGTTGATGCGAAGACGGGGTACATAGAAAACAAAGTCCTTTCACACAAAAAGCATCAAGTATTTATGTTTTGATTGATGACACAATACCTTCGAATCTTATTCATTGGACAGTTTTGATATTGTGGACTTCCTGGACACGTGCCCGTAAAGCAACATTTGTGATCATCATTTCAGTACAAACTGGAATTTACGCGCGTGGGAACATTAGAATTTCCCCTTGTCATGTGCTACACTTGCTGACAGGCACAGTGAACAGATGCGAAGCAGCATGTCCGTGTAGTAATCATTAGGTAGCAGTTGTGAAAGGCTTTCAAGGCTAAAACATTTGCGAGCTCATAAAACGAAGACTAAACATTCTATGCAGGTCATTCACTCAAGCTAAAACGGCGACCATCTTGACATTTAGTTTGTCTGCAAAAGACCAAATACATTTCTCTTAAATAAGAGTTCTTAATTAGTCCCCTGCAGGAATCCGTGACTCCACGATCGCAGAATTTGCCGCGGATTTCAAAGCTCTTTGCGGAATTGAAATCTGTCCGCGGAAATAATCCCGGCAGCTAGATGTTGCGGTCAGAGAGGCTACGTTCACACTGCAGGACGTGAGGCCTAATTGTATTTTGGTTCACATGACCCAAAAAATGGTGTCCTCAAACGTTAGCTCAACTCATCCGCACAAAGCCCGACGTTTATTGACAGATGCAAAAGATGACGACAAGCGGCAGTATTAACGGAAGTAAATGTGATCCAACGCGTAGGGGTTCAGTTTATAATGATCTGATATCAACGAAGGAGGAAATTACATTTATTATACTGTAGGCGGTATGCTGACAATATCTTTGCTTGAATATCACTTGTTCTGATAGTTTGGTAAAATGTTTAGCACTTTATTAATAACTAAAATAAAATCTATAATAATAATTACTATGAAATAAATCTGCCTTAAAGTGCAATACTGATGTTGATTATTTTGTAACCACAATGTTCAATGGTGTTTTGGTTTTGCAGATCATTTCTTGAAACAATTCTAATTCATGAGTGCATTAAATTGCTTTATTACTGGTCATTTTATGTGTTTTATTTTTTATTGCTCGCGGAAAATCAAGTTTCAAGCTGTGGAATCAACACTTTTCCTCTGCTGATTCCTGCGGGGACTACTTTAAGAACTGGCCTGTCATGGTGGACATAATGTTCGTTTTCAGTTTTTCCATACCGGAGATTTCTTGTCAATGGGTTTGATGACAAACTTCTTGTCATTGAAGGAAATATTTCTGATTTCGCTCCAGGGGAAGCCAATCTTTGGGGTCAGCCTGCAGAATATTAGAATACTTGATGAAACAGTACCGACACTCATACATAAAGTAAAACAATACACACACGTGTACATTCATAGGATAATTTCATTTTGACTCGTAACAGGCTTAGCACAGTTGGTAGTAATGTTGGACGCCACAGATTTCCCTTGTAATCAGATACTGAGTAAAATTCAAGCCAATGTCGGCGATATCGATCTGATACCGATACTTTGTGCAAATGAACCTATATACGAGTTGCATGTAAAAAAGTAGTGCATTTCTAATCACAGCTTAATAAGAATACCAGGCAGCAGAATTATTTATGGCTTTATTTTGAACTTGTCAGTAGAGGTGCAACGATATATTGACAACTAATTGCGAATCAACTGAACAGATAATTCCTTTGTGTAATCAATCACTCATTTAGGTACCTTATTTCCCTTACGGTTGGCCAAATGCTCATGCGAATTTCAGCTTCTCAACACTAAATACTTCCCGATTTCCATTGTCCTCCATGAAAGTGGACTGATTCAAAATGTGCTTTTACTTTGGAAAGCACTGATCAACATCTTACGAACCAAACTAAAATAACTGGATCATAAATAATTTTTGTTTATGCATTTTCTGCACTGTCACTTTGAATAAAGGGATGGACATTTGAATGCTTTTAAATCCAAATCATCGATTAATTGACCAAATAATCACCAGATTAATTGATCATTAAAATAATCAACGCCACTTGAAAGTATTTATTTAACCTTAATTTAACAAGCAAAGGCAACTAAGAACTCAGTCTTGTTTACCATGCCAATTTCACTACATTTGTCCAAAAAGTATTATTTATTTACTAGAAATAATGCGTCCTTGTTTATCTATTGTATCTATTCCAGCGATGTATAGTGACCGGCAGAACAATTACATTGACAATTGAATGGCCAGAAGTACAATAAATTTATACATCCGCCTGATGTCATGCACACAACACAATAAGTCATGGCTTCCAGCGAGTATATCTGCTTGATGTTCAAATAAACAGGCCCACATTTCACACTGAGTGAGTCAATTTGTGAGTAAATTGAGATCAGCCTGCAGCACCCAAGGAACGACAATAGACTCTCTTCTTCATAAATGCCTTTATTTTGTGTTGTGGTTTAACCTGAGGCGTTTCACAAGGTTCTATCACAAACCGCATTTTGACTGGAGCTGAAAGAGCTCCACAGATGACTTCGTTCGCGCTCTGCCATAATGCCATTGCAGTGTCAAACTGAAATCGAGCGACTAACTGAGCATCGTGGTGGGCTGCTGCGCTTACTAAAACGTGTGTGTGTGTGTGTGTGTGTGTGTGTGTGTGTGTGTGTGTGTGTAATAGACAAATAACCATTCATATCGAGAGAGACATTTCAATTAACTGGCCGTGCATGTTTTTGGAATGTGAGCGGAAAGCGGAGTACCCGGAGAAAACCCACGCAAACACTGGGACTAAACTCCACATAGGAAGGCCAGGGCCCAGATTCGAACTCACAACCTCAGAACTATGAGGGGGTTTTTGCTAGCCAGGTGAGCACTGCGCTGTCCCTTAAAGTGTACCTGCGGAAGCCCATTTCGAAGTATTGATGGGGAAACAGAGATACAATGTAAAGCTTGACAAATACAGTCAAACCTCTTTTCAACGTACCCCATTTACGTTCTCACCACTATAACGTTCACATTTCAAAGTCCCGATTTCTCGTCATTCATTTTCCATCTGCTGATTTTGCTTACGATGAACACCTTTATAACGTAAACTTCAGTATAACGACCAGATTTGTCCCACAACATAGTGAAAATGCCTTTGTTACAAAGAACCGTGGGAAGCTAACTGCCACCACAAACTTGCTTATGAACTAAAAGTACAGCGCTGAATTACCGTTCGTTGCTTCGCAACGCTATTGATCGACGGGTACATTGTTGTCATTCCGGAGGCACAGCGCGACCCTGAACATATGGTCTGAAAACATATTCAGTAAATGGTGATTGTGTTTATCTTGGGTGCCAAAATACTAGCAACAATCCTGCCCACAGCCAGTGATGTCGCAAGCGGGCTGATATCCAAAGTACTGAATGTGTAATGACTGCCGCGTGGTTTGATGAAGGAGGCAGCTCGTAGCCGCAAGAAGAACTAATGTGAACTGCACAACACAGTCACGACGTGTTATGGGCAACACGAGTTAGCCATTCAGTGATTTCCATAACATTTGTGCATTTTGCCACGTAAACCCCATTCACGGTGTTACGTTTCATTGTGTTTGATTGAGGCGCAAATTGTGAATTTTGACTTGCAAACTGTAATGTGAATATGCTTCTTTATTTCAAGCCTTGCTGGGCCAATAAGAAATGTAATGAATTGAATTCCAGATGTTTTCAAAAGAGTTGAAATTAGATTTGGTTTTGAATCTGACATCATTTACTGACCGATTAGCAGAAATAATATAGCAGAGTTTTGAGCATTTGAAGAGCGTGTTTTAAATGAACAATCGTCCCAGCTGGGAGTTAAAGACCTACTTGTCCTTTTTGTCATATATGTTGAGGCCCAGAGCGTCCACTCCCAACCAGAGCTCAGTTCCTTTCTTGTTCTTGATGCTGAAGTAGTTGACCCCATACATTTCTAGATCCTGAGCTATCTTCAAGTACTCCACTAAAGCGTCCTCCCTGTGACAAGGAGTCATGTCATGAAGACTGAATGACTTACTTGCAGGGAGGGGAGCGTCGTCGCTGGGTTACCTTAGCATTCCCTTGTGCTCTTGATGCCACACTTGAATTCTTTCCTCCCACTGATTTTCATTCAGTTTGTGCTGCTCTAAGACCCTGGGTTTATCATTGAAGGCGACACATGGTTAGAATCCAGATGATTGAATAAAGTTCAAATTTGTATCCGTGGGACGGACCGGCTACCTTTGGGGAAGCAGCTTCTCTCTTGTTAGGTAGCCTGGTACGTGATAATCTTTCTTGAAGTCTCCATGTTTGACCTGAACCGTGTATGAGGCCAAAAGCACTGCAGTCTCCGGTGGACAGTAAATGTCGTCATTTAGGATGCTCTCTTTTACCTAATGCAAAAACAATAGTTGCAGTTGCACATTGTTAGTATTGATATTATTCTAACTCACTCACAGAAAAACCCACATCACTTCAGAGGTTTATTTGATGCACATGAACTCCCTTGTGAAAAAAAAACGAAGATAATAACCTTATGCCTGAGTCATTGGGGAACCCCCAGAGATTTTTGTGGCATCTATTTTAGTTGAGATTGCTCGTTCGTTTGCGCCTCTACAATGTACCACCATAAAACTAAAACTAACCAGTTGAAAGTGTTTTATTGTTGTTGTTTTTTTTTAATATTGAACTTACACCTTTAACATGGATGCAAAATATTTTAGCCATACTAGTCATTTGGAATGATGTATGAATATTTTCCAAAATTGTTGCAACTTTTTGAAATAAATAATTTGTGATTCCTGTTTTATTTTGTTTGCTTTACAATCGCCTCCACAGGTTGTGCACTCACTAACCTGCAGAAAGAAGAGGTGCTGTGTTGCCTCCTGGATGAGTTCTTCTGCAACATCCTCTGGGTAAAACTTTGCCCTGAACTTTATCAACAGAGGGTTGTCCCTCTTCACATCTTGAGCGGTCACCTGGGATCGGCACCCCCCAACAAAGGGATCAACACAGCAAGCAGCTAATTAACCTCAATGGATCAAGAAAGTCACGTTTGTGAGCATCTGTCAAGGCTTTAATTGAGCGGTTCATGTGAGAGAAATGCCAACAAGCTAACACCAAAACTTTCTTCTTACCCTTTTGTTGAGCTTTAGCCACGTGGAGAAACCTTTGCTATCCTGGTACTGAAGACCAAAGAACCAGGTTTCCCTCAGCCCGATTGTTTTCACTATCTAGACAGTGGCATTAACAATGGCATAAGATTGCTGTTGAAAGAGGACCAATTGGCAGGTGGTATACAATGTACCTGATCAAAAAGTTGTTTGCCAGTAGTGCTGGGCAGGATGGCAAATTCCAGCTCGGCGTCCATGCTCGTAACCCGAACATTTATCTGCCGGAACACACAAGATACAGGAGAAAAATATCCCCATTGCGCAATCGTCACTGAAGAGATTTTGAAAGGGAGATGACGAGCAACAAATGAGTAGAAATGAACACTACTTATTTTGTGCGATTTTTGTATGCTCGTTGAAACTAGGGTCAATGTGTTGGTTCTTGGACAGCAAAAGAGAGTTCCTTACATTCTTCTGTTCAACCAGGAGCATCCACTCACAAGAGGTTGGTGGAGGCTACAATCAAAAAATGAAGCCCACAGTAGATTTTTAGATGGGGTTCATTCGATGATAAGAATTGCGTAATGTGAATGCGTCAGAATTAGGGGTGGGAAAAAAATGTCAGTGGGTGACGATGTTTTATCACTTTATCTTACGATACAATGTCAATGCACCAGCATATAACACATTTTGATTTTGTTCGATGAAACTAAATATAATTTTGTGCTCTTATGACAATTTCGAGTTTTAAATGTGATGTGATTCTCCTCCATGTACTACTGTGCACTTATCAACATCTACAGTTGATTAGCAATGAAAAAATTTTTTTTTTGAGTTCATTCTGTTCCATCAGTTTCCTTATCTTCAATTAGACAGACATCACGATGCAGAACCGATTATTTTCTTCCAAGCAATAAATGATCAAAACAACTGATCAAAACAACTGTCGTATTGTGACACTATCGCTATCACTGGCAAAATAGCATGACATTATCATCTGCGTTTCCCACCCCTAGTTAAAACAATGTTGCCCATTCAACTCTGTATTTATACTTCTATCGTAACAAGATAGGACGGAATAAAAGAAAAATGGAATGCCTAAAACAAGATACTTCTGTCAACAACAACAGTAACCATCAAAATCTACTGCCCCCCTGCAATTTGTTAGCTCATATGAGCGTGCTTTAAAATGCATTTTACCTTGCTTTGTTCTCGATTACAGTGCCTCATTTTTCAACCCAACAGGTTATGGTGTTAATTCCAAACCACTACTAAATACATAAACATCCTGAAACATATAGCCTACATTCACAATGTTGACACAAACAATGAAAAATTGCTACTCACAGTTGACATTTCTCTGGTCTGTCGTAAAACAATTCTTCTTAGCGACGCTTGTCTCCTTTTCTCTGTGGAGTCATATGAAACTGCTTGCAATACCAACAAGGATTAGACGGAGTGAGAAAAGAACATTGCATTGTTCCCAAGTACCTACCTCTCATTTAATCCAAAGGCAGCCTGAGGCCCAAGCATTGCTCAAAGGCAGACTTCATCTGAGAAGACTTCTCCTCATTACATTTTAATCATGTGTCACTTACCTTGAACCGACACCGTAATCTTTGTCTTCTACAATTGTTTTGATTCCAATTTTCAGGTTTTTTTTTTTTATTAATAGATAAACATATAGATAGATGGATCGCAATGGAAGGGTTGATGGATGGATATACTTTATTCATCCCGTGTGGTGGATTAAGTTGTCACAACAGCAAAATTCACACATATACAAGCACGTGCGCCAAAAATTTAACTAATTTAAACACAGAAATGTTGGCCCTCTGAATAGTGTATTAACCCTTTCATTGGCCCTGTAAACTGATAACATGAAAAGCTATCCACTGTAGTAACCGCTGTCTCTGAAAGGGTTGAAGTAATATGCCCTCAATACTTTGGTTGGATTCCTTGTGCATTAATGACAGCATCAAGGCATGGAGGCACAGTTCAGGTGCTATTGTAGCGCAAGATGCTTTAATATTGGCCTTTAGATCATCTACATTTCAGGATTTCTGTTCCTCATCTTCCGCTGGCCAATCAAGTGCTGACGTAGTTGCTGGACATACCATACTGTATGTTGCCGGCATATGTACAGCATGCATAAGTGTAAATGCATGTATGTATCCTTGAGTATTATATGTTGACTTTCTTCATGTTCTTTTCAGATTGAGATATACTACATGAATGATCTATTATTATATTAATGTTAACAAGTTTTAAAAAAGGTTCTGGCGCTTTTTGATTTGAGGATTAGTAACTATATTAACCAGAACAAATATGTCCTTACTAATGATTTCAGAAATGTGTTGTTTAGCCTTTATTAACAAGAGGAGATGAGAGGAAGTGGATAGTAGGTCTTGGATAGTCATTTTGAGACCAGGGGAGGCACTGGGGGAGCCTTAGAATCTTACATTTCTTCCCCGCAAAGTTCTCCATGGCCATTCTCTCAGGGGTGAACTGAGCCAGCAGCAGCGTGGCCAAGAACTCCTTGAAATCTTGGTATTCAGGAGGGACCCCTGACACATCGAAAAAAGAACTGGGTTAAGGTGAGTGCCGAGGCGGAGCAGCTTGCCTGAGAAAGACCAACTGACAGAAAGAGCTCCAACCAAATATGGCACCAGTCGTTAAGTCGATTTATTGGGTTGTAATACTAAAGATCAATAAGGACCCCTGGATCAAAAGGATGGAAGGTGATTGCAGGATTTGAAACCGGATGGTCTCCTGTTGGAAATTTATCAGGAATGGCCCACAGGTTTTGGAATTCCAGCATAAAGTTTTGGGGCCCCCAGCCAGGGCTCAGGGGTGGTCTTGAGTAGACACGGTGAGGCAGCTGGCAGTGTTGGGGGAGGAGTTGGAATAACTTGTTGGGTTTATGCCCGTGCTTGGGTATTAGCTGACTTTCTTACCTTAACTCTCAATAGATTTGCAGGGCATCTGGAATAAACAAAAATCTGAAAAAAAAAAACCTCCACAATATCTGTGTGAACAAGTAACCAAAAGATTATCATTCCCATATAAATCACCAAGATACAAATCTACCACATTTTATTGCAGTGGTAAAACTTTCAATCACAAGCCTACAAAATGACAAAAATATGTCGGTATTTTATGACTAAATTCTGGGAATTCACTGTGCCCAGTCTTTCTTCCTCAATAATATTCCTGAGTCTTATGATCATCAGTGTACTTCTTTGTTTGTTTGCGTGTGTGTGTGCTTGGTCAACCGACCCTGGAATGCAGAATGTTTGTAGGAAAAGTGCTATATCAATTGAAGATTTACTGCTTGATAGACTTCATCACAAAATTATTGTGATATTTTTTTTGACAAAATTTAAGAAGATTTTTAACAGACGATTTATTTTTAGACAGTAGCAGCATATTGCTATATGATATGAAATGTATTTTTCCCTGCATGTAATTCACTATATACAAGTTGGTGTGTTTTCAATTTATTATCCTGGCTATAAAGACTTATATTGGAGACATGTTGAGAGAAAGCAACAGCACTTGCCTCTAACAGGCTTCGCCAACCCAGTTCGTGAAGGATTCCGAAATCTGAGACGATGCTCCATCACACACCCCTGGCTGCAACACATAAACAAAAATCTGAAAAAAAAAAACCTCCACAATATCTGTGTGAACAAGTAACCAAAAGATTATCATTCCCATATAAATCACCAAGATACAAATCTACCACATTTTATTGCAGTGGTAAAACTTTCAATCACAAGCCTACAAAATGACAAAAATATGTCGGTATTTTATGACTAAATTCTGGGAATTCACTGTGCCCAGTCTTTCTTCCTCAATAATATTCCTGAGTCTTATGATCATCAGTGTACTTCTTTGTTTGTTTGCGTGTGTGTGTGCTTGGTCAACCGACCCTGGAATGCAGAATGTTTGTAGGAAAAGTGCTATATCAATTGAAGATTTACTGCTTGATAGACTTCATCACAAAATTATTGTGATATTTTTTTTGACAAAATTTAAGAAGATTTTTAACAGACGATTTATTTTTAGACAGTAGCAGCATATTGCTATATGATATGAAATGTATTTTTCCCTGCATGTAATTCACTATATACAAGTTGGTGTGTTTTCAATTTATTATCCTGGCTATAAAGACTTATATTGGAGACATGTTGAGAGAAAGCAACAGCACTTGCCTCTAACAGGCTTCGCCAACCCAGTTCGTGAAGGATTCCGAAATCTGAGACGATGCTCCATCACACACCCCTGGCTGCAACACAAGGTGGATCAGAAACGTTTCAGGGCTGATGTAACAATAGATATACAGCAGTGTGCAAAAGTCTTAGGCCACTATTACATTTGTGATACAGTATATCTGCTTCACCACAACAATACAATGCCCTGAGCATCTGACAGTTCCTGGCAAAGAACAACATCGCCGTGCTGGAGCAATATTCCTACTCAACAGAACAAGCTGTGTAATATTTTTCTTTTCTTCTTTAGTTCAAAAACTCTCTACCTAATCCGAAAAAAAACCCCGGTGATTTTTCTGTCACGTGCCACGTTATATCAGAGTTTTACAATTTGATTTCTTTACTAGAGTAAAATCAGTAAGCCTACTTCTACTTGTCTTTTTTCTGTACCTCTAGAATGTGAGTATTTTTGCCCTCTTTTAATATTTTACCTGACTTGTGTTGTACAGTACCATGAACAACTTTTGGGGTATGAGCAACCGTTTTGACATGGGGGTGGACGACTTCCTGGCCCGCTTCAGGCACGGCTTTACCTTGAGCGAGCGCGCTCCGGTGCGCCATCACGTCGGCCATTGTTTTGTATTTATTTATTTAAATCTAGCGAGAGACCACCGGGCAACACGGCGACACCAGCTGGGCGACGAGCAAAGGGGTTTCTTCATCATGACGGACGAACAAGAAATCATGTGCAAGTTAGAAAACATCCTGGAAGTACGGTAAGGCTGGATAACACATAAAACGACAAAAAGCATGATGTTTGCGAAAGGTCAGCGAATGCAACACTAGACAGCAAGAAGAGCCCCCTCACTCCCCCTGACTGCTTTGTTACCCTATTAGCTAGCGGGGGCTAGCAGTTGGTTAGCAGTGGCTGTGCTGATTCTCCGTGAAACGGACAAAGCTCGCCTTTGTTTATTTTCAACACGTCTTGGCGTCATTGCATAGATGCACACAGGCTGCAGCTGACACAATCATACGTTCGTAAGCATTCCACGTGTGTCGGAAGATTCCAGGTGTGGGTTGCTAAGCAGTGCTGCGGTCGAGCTAGCTACAGTACTTAGCCAACAGCAGTCTGTCAGGAACTCACTGTCCATTCACTGCTCGCTGGCTGACTAGTCCACAATAATTTTTTGTGCAATAATATTAATATTTTGGAATATTTGCAGGCACCGCTAATACAGTACCTACAGGGCACTCTACAAAAACACTTAGCCCTGCAGTTCATTTTGTAATAATTGTGTGATATGATGTACTCAACTGTTTTTATAGAGCACTTTCAAACAGCCATCGCTCCGTACAAAGTGCTGTACATGGAGCAACTATCATATATACAACAATAAAGCAATAAATCAGTAACAAGGACAGTAGAAATCATCAAACAGTAAAACTAAGATTAAGTCTGAGTCATGCTGAGTCAAATGCCAAAGAATACAAGTGAGTTTTGAGGCGGGTTTTAAAGATGGGCAGCGAGGGGGCTTGCCGAATGTTCAGTGGGAGGTCATTCCAGAGAGAAAAACCAGCAACGGAAAAGGCACAATCCCCTCTGAGCCTCCGTTTGGTTCTTGGTACTTCTAATAATGTCTGGTCCGCAGACCTGAGGCGTCGGGCAAGTGTGTAGGGGCGGATGAGCTCACAGAGGTAAGGTGGCGCAAGGTCATTTAAAGATTTGAAAACAAATAATAGGATCTTGAAAAGAACTCTAAAATGTTTAGGGAGCCAGTGAAGGGATGCCAGAGAAGGAGTTATGTGCTCCCTCTTACGAGTACCAGTCAAGAGGCGAGCAGCAGCATTCTGGACCAGCTGGAGACGCTTAATGGAGAATTGGCTGACTCCAAAGTAAAGTGCATTACAGTAATTGAGCTGGGATGTGACGAAGGCATGAATTACTGTCTCAAGGTGCTCATGAGGAAGGAGAGGTTTTACTTTAGCCAGCTGCCTAAAATGAAAGAAGCTGGATTTAACAACGGCACCAATTTGCTGGTCAAGTTTAAAATCACTGTCCAGTTTAAGACCCAAGTTTGAGACTGTTGACTTAAGATAAGGAGCCAGGGGGCCCAAGTCTACAGGATGGGATGCACAAGGGCCACTGGGATCAAACAGTATCACTTCTGTCTTCTTTTCATTGAAATTCAAGTAAGTCATGTAACACATGACAAAGGGAGAACTATAATACTTTTGACAATTCCCTTTTCCCTATTTTACTCCTGTGTAATAAAGTAAAATACAATGATAGACCAAAATACAGACTAGTGTGGCCAATGAATGTTTGTATTCGCTTTTCGTCAATTGGTTTTGCTTGAAACAGAAATTACTTTCTCAAAATAACATGGACTAATTCCCAAGCCACCTTGCAATTGTTCATAACAGAGTGCCATTTCTCACAGATTTCATCAAATTTCCAATGTCTTAGTAGTGTATGTCTCAAGCGTCTGAGTTCATCTTTGCAAATGGGTATGTACAAGTAGCCTCCAGTTCACATAATGAGCCCACGTTTAGCACATTTTCCAAATACTGTTTCTCAGTCCAAAACATGACAGCATGATTTTATTGTGCAAGTCACCATATGAACTGTTTGGTCGCTTGTCAAAATTAGTCAAGAACAGAATACCATAATCGCCATATATGAATTCTTGGGGCATTAGATAAATGTTCAAGGAATAGAGCGACGACCACCGTACTATCATTTGCTCAATTCAATTGAGGATTTTTTGTCCGCTTGGAAGTGGACAGTTTATGAACATTGGGTTCAGAACCAGAGGTCCCTGCTGCATACAATGGTCACGGCGTGCGAGGACATCACAAGGGATCAGTGTAGTGGAATGGTGGCGACATTTGCAGTTTCTTTTCTCTCTGTATAGCAATGGAAAATATCCGCTGCAATGTGGACTAAAATCTATGGTCAATCAAGAGCAATGCATCTATGGCCAGGTGGATGAGGAATGGAGAGGGAGCGTGTCAATAGCAAGCAGTGAACGTGTTACTGCCATAGTGAAACTTTATTTACAGCACTGTAGGCTCGATACACAGTGTGTGTGTGTGTGTGTGTGTGTGTGTGTACTGTATTGGGTGTGTGTCATTATTTTGCTTTTGCTGCTGTTTTGCTCTTGCTGGTGAAAGGAGCAAGACCGGAACACAACACAACCATTCTGGTTTTTTTTTTCCCAACATGGAAATCCCTTTTTTCTCAGTTAAAAAAATTTGAAATCAAAACTTTCCAGTTGACGAGGGGCTTCCGTCTAAGATAGAGATCTCCAACATAACTGTAGTTTAGGGCTGTCACAAATTAGTCTTTTTAAAATCGATTATCTTGTTGATTATTCCACCGATTACTCTATTAATTGCCAATCCCAATGCATTTGTTGAGCATCACTTTCCTTGTTGGTGGTGTTTACTGGTATTGATTTTCTGCTGTGAACAAGATGAGCTAAGTGTTGTCTTCTTGTGCCAACAGGAACAAAACAGTCCAAATGCAGAAGATCAAGTCTCGCCTGAAGATTGAGTTTGAGGCTCTGGAGTCTGAAGAGAAGCATCTAAAAGAGTACAAGCAGGAGATGGATCTCCTCCTTCAGGAGAAGATGGCACACGTGGAGGAGCTCCGGCTCATCCATGCAGATATCAATGTGGTGAATATGTGCCACAATTACTGAGTGGTACCATTATCATCATCATCATTATAGCATGCAGTTTTGCTCAAGTTAATTTCCGATGCAAACTAATTAAAAGTTCAGCTCAAATCTTAAAATGAACTAGTTCAGCAAAAGTACACTATACATCCAGTTCAAATTGCCCAAAATATGAATAAGTTCACAAACTTCAACCTTTTCTACTGAATGTAACTTCATTCACCTCATTCAGATATAACACTGATAGTCTGTCTTCAGTTAATTTTTACATGGGTATAAAAGAAGACAAATTGCTTTGTGAAAACAACAATTTAGAAGCATGTGTGTATTGCGGTATGAACATTTCCAAATATACAGCATTGCATTTGTACAGTTCAGGATTTTTGGTGTATTTTTGTTTTTCCAAAGATGGAAAGCACAATCAAGCAGTCTGAAAATGACCTGAACAAGCTGCTAGAAACAACTCGCCGCCTGCATGATGAGTACAAACCTCTGAAGGAGCATGTTGATGCGCTGAGGATGACTTTAGGACTGCACAGACTCCCTCACCTCAATGAAGAAGAGGAGAAGCTCTCACTGGAGTCAGTGCGCGCACACACACACACACACACACACACACACACACACACACACAGGAGCAAGGCTTGGAGGTGGGAATTGATTGCAAGCGCTTGGCCGGGCACAGCCTGAAGAGGTCATGTGAGTCCCCCTTCATCACCTGAGGGAGGGGCCAAAGGGGTTGGGTGGTGGCCGATTGCATCTCTGCTTTTTTTGCAGATGATGTCGTATTAGTGTTGCTTCATTAAGCCACAATCTCCAAAGCTCTTTGGAGCGGTTCGCAGCCAAGTGAGAAGCGTTTGGGAGGAAAGTGAGCAGCACCTTCAAATCTGAGACCATGGTCCTCAGTCAGAAAAGGCTGGAGTTCCCTCTCCAAGTAGGCTAAAATCCTGCTTCAAATGGAGGAGTTCAAGTATCTTAGGATATTAAGGTCTTGTTCATGAATGAGGGCAGGATGGAGCCGAAGATCGACAAGCAGATCGGTGCAGCGTCTGCAGTGATACGGACTCTTATCAGTCTGTCATGATGAAAAGAGTGGTGAGTTGGAGCCAAAAGAACAAAAACCTGGATACAAGCAGATGAAATGAATTTCCTCCACATGGTGCTCAGTCTCTCCCAGAGAGGGTGAGAAGTTCGGGAGGGACTCAATGTTGAACCATTGCTTTTCCACGGCGAGGAGTCAGATGAGGTGGCTCAACCATTTGGTTCGGATACCTCCTTCATGAGGTGTTCCAAGCATGTTCTTCCGGGAGGAGTCCTGAGGGACGAACCAATTCAAAGTAGGTCCTTCTTTCCACGATTAAAAGAACAAGATGGTGTATTGTGTGGTCGTGTATCAA